AGGCAGGATAACAACCCGGTCCGTTCTGACCGGACGACAATCAAACAGCTCCCGTCCGAGCGCTGCAGTGTCTTAAGGCAGGATAATAACCCGGTCCGTTCTGACCGGGCGACAATCAAACAGCTCCCGTTCGAGCGCTGCAGTGTCTTAAGGCAGGATAATAACCCGGTCCGTTCTGACCGGACGACAACAAACAGCTCCCGTTCGAGCGCTGCAGTGTCTTAAGGCAGGATAATAACCCGGTCCGTTCTGACCGGGCGACAATCAAACAGCTCCCGTTCGAGCGCTGCAGTGTCTTAAGGCAGGATAATAACCCGGTCCGTTCTGACCGGGCGACAATCAAACAGCTCCCGTTCGAGCGCTGCAGTGTCTTAAGGCAGGATAATAACCCGGTCCGTTCTGACCGGACGACAACAAACAGCTCCCGTTCGAGCGCTGCAGTGTCTTAAGGCAGGATAATAACCCGGTCCGTTCTGACCGGGCGACAATCAAACAGCTCCCGTTCGAGCGCTGCATTGTCTTAAGGCAGGATATTAACTCGGCCGCGAGTTGGCCAGACGACGAGGATGTGGAATCAGTTCAGGTGCTTCGGGGTCAGCCTGGTCACTACCGCGCTCTCCGAGATTAGTGTAGCTGGGCACGTCCCTTACGCGGTACCTCTCCCCCCGAAAAAAAAAACTGCGCCAATCACCGACGGCCGTGCCGGCTGACTCCGCCCATGTTAAGCGAGAGTGGACCCTACCTATCCTTGTACATTCGGAAGAGAACGCGATCAGACATAGATTTTAATGTACTTACGATAACTTACAAAAAAAATACGCTAAATCGAGGTAACTGTGACTCATCATTATCAAGTTTAAAAGTAACACCGAGGCAAATATCTATTTCACTCTCATTATTACGAGTTAGAGCTTTAACGACGGTCACTAGGACAACAACGACTCGGCGTGATACTGCGTGCGTTTTCCCAGTGTTTGTGTTCCGCGAAGAAACGGCATGCTCACGGGTGAGAGCAGTGTGAAGGGTGATGTTTCGCTTGGTTTTCCAAGTATCGACGGCCAAAACGCTCTCGCTGGGTCTGCTCGTTCACCATTCCCTCCCTAATATCCTCAACAGATATGGGTACTTTTCCAAGATATATTCAATCAAACAAGAAGATATGAAACTCGCAATACAAAAGCAAATGATTCAAAAAAAGGAACGGAAAAAAATACTAAATCGACCGGTAACCTAACAAGTTAATCACACAGTTTGGGGGGGGCGGAGCGAGCCCCCAAGCGGCTACAAAATCTTTCCTGCACTCAAACTCATTGACCCCTTGTATCGGATGAAACCGCTTAGGCTTAAAATCTACCCCTCCCCACTAACTGAAAAAAACCGGAGTAGGCACACTTTAGATGCCGGATGCATAATTGATGCCCCCCCCCCCCCAAAATGTAATCCTGAAGCGCAAATCCAATGCCCACATATCCTGCCGGGCCTGAAAAGCCGGGCGGGCTCACCTCGCCCGCGGAAAAAAAACATTTGACCCAACGTATTTACAATCTCGGATCGACGTATAGTTCATCGAACATCGCCATTATCGCGCCACGGTATGATCTATAGACCGGGTGGGCGATGTTGACTAAATAAACGTACTCCCTCCCCCGACCGGTAAATGTCTACTAAGGGTTGGACCATACCCGGGGTGGCACCCGCACAAACGGAACAACCAGCAGATATCATAATTGCAACTGGCGGCTAGGGGTGGATATGAGGCGTGGTTACATGGTGAAAGGGGATGCGTTCTGATGTGTCCGCTTCAAACTCACTTGCAACCGATGGTCGCCGATGAGGCTGCTGCGAGGCGTAGCGTTGACTGGATCACGGCTGCCGTGGTGACGCCCGGAGGAGCACTGTTCGGAGTGCCGTCCGGAGGAGCAGTGTGTGGAGGGACGTCCGGAGTAACAGTGAGAGCGAGCGCCGTCTCTCCTCCCCTTTTTATGCTTTCCGTCCTTTCTCTCGATCTTTCGCCTTTCACCGACGCCATTTTGCTGGCTTCTCGCGATTTCGAGGGGCCTTGTGCTCAGATATTCTGTTCTTTCGAATTTCCTTCGCTTGATTCTGGCCTTAGTTATACAAATTTCTTGTTCCATTTCACGAAAGTTGCAATTGCAAATCCTTTTCTGGAGGCGTTTGCTTGGTTTTGTAGGCGGATGACCTGATAGTATTGCTGTATCTGTGGTCTTCCCATTCTTTATCGGGTTTTTCTTGTGCTGTAATCCGTTAATTTTACTTCAGCTCGCATTGATTTTAAATTTGTCTTCACTTCTCATTTTTGCTTGTTTTGGCCTTCTCTTCAGAAACCGCTCCAGATTCCCTGATGAGAAAATTGCTGTTCTTTCGTGTCTCGGCATGGCGAAATCCAATATTTGCCTCATCTTCAATTTGACGCATAGTCAAGCTCCCTGGATGTTCATCTCTCACAGATGTTTTATCTTTGCTGGTTTAAACGGAAAACTGTTAGCGTGGCTATTCGTTCCGGCTTCTGAAGTGGATGATTTCGAGAAGTCCGGAATGCGGCCACTCGCTGGGTTTTACGTTCATCTTCTGGTAACTTGATCCATTCGGTAAACAGCAGGTCCTTGCAATTTACAAGTGACATGTTGCAGCACTGGGGTTGGGTGATTTTCTGCCGCGCAACGATTTCATCTCCAGTTCTCGATCCATTCCGTGAAAAGCCGGCCCTTCTGAATTTGTTTCAGCTGTGTAAAAAGATATCTTCCACGTTTATCTTCTGGTGACCTGACCCGCTCTTTATATTCGGCGGATCGTTCCAATGTGCAATTAACCGATTCCCTTTTTGCGGGTTGAGTGAATTTCTGCAGCGTCTTGGTTTCATTTCCGGTTAACTTTTCTTCAGATTCGGTGAGCTTTTGTGAGGACTCAACTTTTGCGAATTCCTTCTCTGTTGATTTAGCTGTTTTGAGCTACACGGGCGATTTCTCTTCTTTAGTGGTTCTTGATTGTGAATTCGCTATTTTGCATGTAATTTACTAAGCCGCTCATCAACTCAGACAATTTTGTTCCGTTCATACTACCACTCTTCCGGCGATGTTTTGCGTATTTTCTGTGTACTGCCGAGCCGGTATCATGAAACATCTTTTTTTCAGCCTGTTTGCCGGCGGTCGTGCAACCGGGTCAACTGTACATTGGGTCAACTGTACATTCATCTGTTCTTCCTTGCCGGTTGTCTTCCTTCCGTTGAGTTTATAAACATCCTGAACCAGAGAATAGTATACCGTTCTCATTTAGCTTCGGAGCTTTGGTTTGCAGCACCGACAATTTCCCCGCATTGCTTTATGTCTTGCAATGATCCCTGTCTCCTCCTGATGGCTTTTCTATGCAAGGGTTGGATTTGATTGTGGGTTGTCGGGTATCTACGGATTCACCTTCGATTGGTGGTTTCAGTCGTGCAATTGTCGTTGTTGATTTGGCCCGCTGATTGCTGTTGCAATGTGTTTGCTGCTCACTCTTCCCTTGTTTTCCCGTTTGGCATGCCACCTGCCTCCTTAATTACTGAAGCCGGAGGTGGGCCGCGCCATTTGTTGGCGTCCTCTTTCTAGTACGTGACTTCGGGAAGGTTTGGCCGATCCGCCTCTGCTACTGGGAGCATCCTGAATGGCCGTTAGTCTGGTCATAGACACTCGTTACAATCGTTTCTGCCGCGCCGATCGCCTCCAATCAGTCGGCGGCGGCATGTGTGCCTGCTCCATTCGCTGCGTCATTTTGGGGCGGAATGCCTCGCTGTTTTCGCGCGTAGCGTGGGAGAGGGAAAGGAAGGTCGGGACAGGAACACCTGCTGCTGAGGAATGTGCACCAGTGAACTCAGCCTGCGTTCAAAATTTTTATGCATAGTCTGGTGAAAAAAATGTAATCTCATTACACGACTTGTAACGGCACACACGCTCGTTTTTTCCGCGAGGCTCTAGCTCTATTAGAAGCGAAACGGCGCGCTGGGGTCGTATCAACCCCTCCGAAACCCATTTTGTTTGCGGGAAAATGTGGAACTTATAGAAAGAACACCTTTCTAATTTTTTGCATATCGATTTGCAATGACATGAAGATTATTTTGAAAAAATAAAAATGTGAAAAATTTTGGTCCCAAAAGTCATTAGAGGCAAATGAAAAAAGATTAAGGTTTTTGCTCAACAATGAAATTTTTTCTTTGGAATTTTTATATAGTAATATTAATTTTTGATTCTTCGCAAGCTTAGTGTTGTTTACTTTTTGTTGGCTGCTTAACCCGTTCTTGAGTTAAAGGCCATCAAACTCACCGTTACATACCGAAGTTAAAAAAATGTAATGCAATATAACTCAAAAAGTTTTGATCTGAGAAGTCTGATATTTTGCCAGGCGTCTTTGGGGCCTATGATTACCCCTAGGACCGATTTTCATTAAAATCTGAGGGATGAGGGTGACGGGCCTGGTACGATCTATCGTGGAATGCCCCAGCTCTCCGTCGTCCTGCGAGAGCATCTGATCGTCCTGCGTCACCGCGGGTACTGGCGACACGCGGGGGGATCCAGTGCCGGTCGAGGGTCGCTGTCTCTCCGACCCGATGGAGACCGTGACCGATCCCGGTCGTGGAGAGGATTGGCCGGAGGCCATGTCTCGTAGATCCTTCACAGGAACGATTTAACATGAGAACAAAAAAAAAAATGAAAATAATTAGGTAAAATCCAGATATTGCATTTGTACACCTGATGGCAGCACTGTAGTTTTTATCATTGCTGTACGGTCAGCCCAGAGGACGGGCGGCAATGGAAGTCGAGCACGGGTCCTACTGCCTCATTAACATACGGCTTACAACCTGCGCCACATACAGGGCCGCGATACTGCGCTAGTCAGCTTGTACCCAGGACAAACAGCAGGGAATCGTAAAATGAATTAGCAATTCGACGGAAAGATCTTGGATGAAACATCACATGCCCCCTTCCCAATTACAATGTAGCATTTACCTTAGATGCCTTCAGTTCCGCTAGCCACACAACCGTGGTCTCGAACCTCTCCATCAGCTGAGGGAGATCTGGGAACGAGGATAATAGTTCGTGATCATTCTATAAAAATACGAAAATGAAAAACAATTGTGGCATTTAGGGGAAGCCGGGGGAAGCCCGGGCGCGGGGGAAGCCCGGCCACCCCGTTTCCGGCTATATTATTCACATTAAAATGCTCAACTGTTTTTCCTTTCAGCGTGGCAGCTAAGGTAACACCAGCAAAAAAGTTAAGGCTAACAAAAATTGTATATTGTTAAAGTTATAGAGCAAAAATGATATTTTAAAGGTTTTTAGCTAAAAAGTGAGATATGTTGCACTGTTAATGTTATACCATACAGTACTAATATTTATACGAATGTTATGCAAGGATCGTTTAAGTGTTTGTAGTGAGGGGTGACGAGGCAGGCTGGCTTAAGTATGATATTTTTTTTTCGAACATCGCTGTTCTAAAATAAAAATTAGCACATTGGGGTAACCCCGGGCGAGTGGCCAAGCTTACCCCCAACCGAGAGCAATGCCACTAAACCACTGTTTTCCATGAGATAATAGGTACTGAGCAGGTTTGGTTTACACCTAGATCAAAGATAAATTTCGAAAATAAACATGTTATCATAGACAAAGCCAGTCATGTCACTTAAGGTCAACTAGGGTCAAACTACGTTTTTGCAGATAACGCGACAGCCAATGAAGCTAGAGCTTCAAAAATGGTGTCGTTGTATTCTTCTTCATAAGCAAGTCGAATAATATGCAATATGATGCATTAAGGTAAAAATAAAAATAAATTTTAAGGAATTTTGAAATACACATTTTTTGTCAATTTTGCATCAAGATTTTCATCGACCTGTACTGTATATGTGGTAGACGCTAGCTAAAATACCATTAGTGACATAAACTCTAAGACGTCCAGAGCTAATCCGTAACTTAATATTTCACTTTCCGTTAATATTTGGAAGACACATAATGGTTTCATCAACTCGTTGTAAAGCGCTGGGGAGGTGGCCGGCGTTACCCCTATCATCATCATCATCATCATTTATTTCGTTTGGAACTCCGTATTCACGGCTATTCTGTCCAAGTGTCAATACATAAATACATATACGCTGAATGGTAAAGATGTTAAAGGAAAAAAAGTACAGCACGTATGACGTGGTATCACACATTAAAACCAGACTATGCCGGGCTTACCCCAGAAAAATCAACACTTTTTTAAAACTCGATTTTCTCAACCTTATACTTATTCCACGAAACCGAATTTTTGGGAAGACACGGCCAATGAACTTAGCTAGCTAACAGGATATCAACATTTTATATAGCACGTATGGTATGTAATAAAAAAGAAAAAGAGCTTACTATGCCGGGCTTCCCCCGGCTTCCCCTACTCGAACCATGTCACGTCACGGGAAAATGCAGCCAAAAAAACAAAAAAACTTCTGAAAAAGATGTGATATTTACTCGAGCAATACCATGCCACGTCATAATGCGACCAAAGAAATACTTCAAAGTTAAAAAATAAGACACTGGACCATTGACAAGACTTGCCAGTCTGATCAGTGTTTCAAGTACTCGTGATACACCTATTTTAGTAGGTATACTCGAGGGCAGATTGATGTTCCACCACTCCCTACCCATCGGGCTCCCATGGCTCAGCACTGGCTGCTGCCGGTGTTGCCTGCCCTCAGCACTGCTCAGCACTGTCTGCCAGTGCCAGTGCTGCCAGTGCTGCCACTGGCAGCAGCCAGTGCTGAACCATGGGAGCCCGATGGGTAGGGAGTGGCGGAACATCAATCTGCCCCCGAGTGTACAAGGCTATCATCCACGTATGTTGGGCTGGTATCGGCGGTAAAAGTGGTTTACCATGTGTAATCGGGCCGTGTTTTAACCGCATGAGATTCCACGCCGAAAAATTTGAAAACCGGCTGAGGAATTTCTCACGAAATCCCATTGCCGGCCGCAAAGGCCTTTTCGGACCGAAAACGACCCCCACCAGGAAAAAATCAGGAATGAAGTTAAGAAGCACTTACCTCCCACTGCCAGCATTCCAGCTTTAAGGGCCTTCACCTGACCTTCTAAACTACCTATGCGCAGCTTCAGTGCAGTGCATTCCTCGTCCATCGCGCATTTTTCTTTTCGTAGAACAGCACAGTCTACACAGTCCTGACGAAAATGTAAGCAATGTTCAACTGATATTGCCTCATTTCCACAGTTGCATGGGTTATGTTGTTGTTCACCATCAGGCTTATACTCTTAACTGAATAAAAAGGCAAAAAGGTACCATACCTGATCATTGTCCCGTTCAAAATCGCCGGAAAGAAGAGACTGCGACGGCCCCGAGCTGTTGGATGGCGAATCCCTCCGACGTTTCATCAACGCAAGAACTTCACGCCCCTTCGCTTGTGTGTAAGCCTGCGCACAGGAAAACGAATTGGCTTAGCAACACGTGGGTCAACATTCATTTGCATCGTATAGTTGCGTCAGTGTTCTCCAGCACCTCGCTGACAAGTTATCAGCGGCCACATGGTCTGTCCCCGCGGCACCTGGTGAAGCTCAAATACAGTGGCGGTCGCAGGGGGGGGGGCCATCAGGGCCATGGCCCCCCCCAAAGCCAAATCAGGGGGGGCCATCATATCATTTGGCCCCCCCAAACAACCGATGGGCCCCCATGGCCGTATGGGGCCCTGGCCCGTATTCGATTGTCACGAGGCTCGAGAAACCCACGCCAGCTATTAACAGCTCCCATACCAGTCTTTTAGGGTCCTACACTGACCTCTGAGGGCCCTTCAGTGGCGGTCAAGCGTCCACATTGACCGCTGAGGCCCCACATTGACCTCTGAGGGCCCTCCACTGGCCTTTGAGGGCCCCTACACCGGCCTCAAGGGCCCAACCGGCGTCTGAGAGCCTCACACCGGCCTCTGGTGGCCTCATTTCTGTCTCTCGAGTCCCCAAGACTAGACTTTAAGTGTCTCTGAGGGCCCCGCACTGGATTCTGAAGACCCGATGCCGGCCTCTAAGAGCCCGCATCGGCCTCTGGGGGCCCATCTTGGCCTTTGAGGGCCCTCCGCTGGTCTCTGGTGTACAACGCCGGCCCATGCCGGCCTTTTAGGGCCCCACACTGACCTCTGAGGGCCCCATGCTGGCTGGCCTGTAAGGACCCACATTAGCCTCTGAGGGCCCCCGCACTGGATTCTGAAGACCCAATGCCGGCCTCTAAGAGCCCGCATCGGCCTCTGGGGCCCATCTTGGCCTTTGAGGGCCCTCCGCCGCTGGTCTCTGGTGTCCAACGCCGGCCCATGCCGGCCTTTTAGGGCCCCACACTGACCTCTGAGGGCCCCATGCTGGCCTGCAAGGACCCACATTAGCCTCTGAGGGCCCCCGCACTGGGTTCTGAAGACCCAATGCCGGCCGCTCAGGGCCCGCATCAGCGTCTGAGGGCCCATCTTGGCCTTTGAGGGCCCTCCGCTGGCCTCTGGGGCTCAACGCCGGCCCATGCCGGTCTTTTAGGGCCCCACACTGACCTATGAGGGCCCCATGCTGGTCTGTAAGGACACACATTAGCCTTTGTGGGCCCCGCACTGTATTCTGAAGACCCGATGCCGGCATCTAAGGGCCCGCATCATCCTCTGAGGGCCCATCTTGGCTTTTGAGGGCCCTCTGCTGGCCTCTGGGGTCCAACACCGGCCAATGCCAGTCTTTTAGGGTCCCATTCTGACCTTTGAGGGCCCCATGCTGGCCTGCAAGGGCTCACATTAGCCTTTGAGGCCCCCTGGATTCATAAGACCCGATGCCGGCCTCTAAGGGTCAGCATCGGCTTCTTTTAGGGTCCCATTCTGACCTTTGAGGGCCCCATGCTGGCCTGCAAGGGCTCACATTAGCCTTTGAGGCCCCCTGGATTCATAAGACCCGATGCCGGCCTCTAAGGGTCAGCATCGGCTTAGGAGGGCCCATCTTGGACTTTGAGGGCCTTCTGTTGGACTCTGGGGTCCAACGCCGGCCCATGCCGGTCTTTTAGGGCCCCACACTGACCTCTGAGGGCCCGTGCTGGCCTGTAAGGACCTACCTTAGTCTCTGAGGGCCCGCACGGGCTTCTGAAGACCCGATGCCGGCCGCTCAGGGCCCGCATCGGCGTCTGAGGGCCCATCTTGGCCTTTGAGGACCCTCCGCTGGCCTCTGGGGTCCAACACCGGCCCATGCCGGTCTTTTAGGGTCCTATTCTGACCTTTGAGGGCCCCATGCTGGCCTGTAAGGGCTCACATTAGCCTCTGAGGGCCCCCACACTGGATTCTGAAGACCCGATGCCGGCCTCTAAGGGCCCACATCGGTCTCTGAGGGCCCATCTTGGCCTTTGACGGCCCTCTACTGGCCTCTGGGGTCCAACGCCGGCCCATGTCGGTCTTTTAGAGCCCCACGGTAACCTCTGAGGGCTCCATGCTGGCCTGTAAGGACCCACATTAGCCTTAGTGCCCAATTCGGTCTCGGATGGTCTCAAACTGCCCTTTGCAGGCCCTGTACTGGTCTCTGATGGCCCTAAACTGGTCCCTATGGGCCCAAACCAGCCTCTAAAGGTCCCACACCGGCCTTTGATGGCCCTATTATGTTCTGTGGGGGGGGGGGGGCTCAAGCCTTACCTTTGGGCGTCACGCACTTGCCTCTGAAGGCCCACATCAGCCTCTGGGGCCCTACCTGGGGCCTTTGAGGTCCTTCGCTGACCCTTGGCTCCAACGCCGGCCTCTGGGGGGTCTGACAACGTACTCTAAGGGCCCCATTGCAGCCTCTAGGCGATAGGTATCGCCGAAGCGCTATCGATGGGCCCATAAGTGTAGGAACCATGGGTGCAGTGGGCGCAGTTGCACCAACAATAATTCTGCAGTGGGTGCAAACAATGTATTCTGCATCCACAGTAATCTGGAACAAAACCCCCTTTTCTCAGCAACACTGCTTTCCATGCAGCACGACAAATTTAGGATATTTGGCCCACTATCCATCTTCCGAAGTATTGGCTACTGTAATGGCCTTCAAAACTTACATTTGTGCTCAAGTAAAAACAAAAAAAGATGAAACGGAACACATGTGATTGAACAGTGAACAGATACCGATGAACTGTCAAAAGTTTTAGCACGATGATCTTAGAAAATGGCAGTTAGCCGCGCCGCCTTTACTTTTGCGGTAGTCCATTCACAGTTGCATGAATTATTGACAATATCAATGTTTCAAAATGCACTTATCGGTACCTTTTCGACATGGTACGGGGACCCGCAGTTGCTACTGTACACGAACCCCAACTTTAGAGGTCTGTCCTGTCCAGTAACAACCGATAACATTGATATCTACTGCCGGTCCCTGTACAAGAGCAGCTGAGGTTTTCTGTGCGTGCCCTCTGACAGCTTATCGTTGTTCCCTGTGAGGGTGCTGGGACAATTTACTCAGGGTCGCTGTACAGTAGCAACTGCGGGTCCCCGTACACCCTCAAAGCTCGCATTTCGCAATGAGCCTCCTCTCGGGTGCCGCTCACTACCCCCCCCCCCCCCCCGCTTCACCGGCCATGGCCTGGATTTCTGCACCCGTGCACTACGTCCGTGGGCCCCTTTAAAGGGACCCTCCCACCTTAACATTAGTTTTGAGTTGAGATAGCCAAGTTTGCGGCCAGGCTCAGAAACCACCATTTATCCTGGTCGCAACCCCCGCAGCTTTATGGTGTTCAAGAAATTTCTTCCCTTTACTTGCAGGGTGGGACCAGCGTGGTCCCTATCTCTTAACCATTACGGGAATCTGATGACGTCATCAGGCTTTCGAACGTCCGTTAAATGTTTGACTAAAACGTTTTGTAGCACGCGGTGGTATATGCTGCTTTGCGCGCAACAAATGCCGCACTTTCAAATAAAGTCGCTAGGAACAGCGGAGATCCCAAAAAGTAAACAAAAGTAAAAGTCTAATATCTTGAAAACCGGTGAATATTTTTCGATGAAATTTGGTAGATATTCGTTTTTGCTCTTTCTGAACCGAGCGACATCACTTTCATGCCAATTCATTAACTTTTTTGAAGGTGGGAGGGTCCCTTTAAGCTAGCACCGGGCCCCCCGGGTCAGCGCAGGGGCCCCTTTGACAAGTTGGCCCCCCCAAACTCCAAGTCTGCGACCGCCCCTGCTCAAATAGGCCTCTGTAGCCCATCATGCCCCAAACGAGAATCCCCAGTGCCCAGTGGGTGCGTCACCGTCTCGACGGCGCAGCGCCTCTGAGCTGCTGTTGGCCCAGAACTACTTGTCGGGACGGTTAGTGACTAAGAAGAGCTCTAATAGCCGTTTTCACGACGGGCTGTCTGGTGAGTGCACCTAATTTGACCAAATATGCACCTAATCTCTCTTAATACAGCAAATATCTTTATTTTATGAATTTATTTCAGTGTTTTAACCGATGATGCTCTCTGATAATATGACAAAGGAGGTATATAAGCAATTAGTACAACCCTAGCTGATAGCTACTAAGACTAACCTGTAATGTGTCACTAACCTGTCCTGCTTCCTTGATCATTGCTGGTCCTCCGTTTCCAAAGGTAAACAGACAGACGCCATTTACACTGACTTTTCGTCCGCATTCACGTCTGTAAACCATGTCCTACTTCTACACAAACTCCGCTCATCCTTTCATATCACCGGAACTGCTCACTCCTGGCTTACATCCTACCTCAGTGATCGCATGCAGCGCGTCGTATTGAATGGCAAGCATTCAGCGTGGACTGCTGTCCAGTCCGGCGTGCCCGAAGGCAGCATTTTGGGCCCTTTGTTGTTCGCGTGCTTCGTCGCTGATATTCCGAAGTGTATGAAGACTGGCTGCCTGTTATATGCAGATGATGTGAAACTGTTCCACCGAGTGGGGTCCGATGATGATGTCGCTCTACTTCAGGCTGACTTAGACAATCTTCATAACTGGTGTAAAACATGGAAGCTAAAACTCAATCCGGTTAAATGTCAGACGATCACTTTCACTCTCAGGACATCTCCCATTCAGTCGACCTACAGTGTGAATGGTCATGAGCTCACTCGTTGTCAAGAGGTGCGTGATTTAGGGATCCTTTTGGACGCTAAGCTTACATTTGCGCAGCATGTTGACGCCACCATACGGGAATGTAATAAGATGTTAGGCCTAATAATGCGCAGTGTGCAGTTGCCTCGATGTCCCCGGCGGGTCAAATTTAATCGAACTGCGCTGCTTGCCGCCTACAAGGCTCACGTTCGCTCGATTGCTGAGTACGGCAGCGTTATTTGGAGCGGCGCAGCAAAAACCCACCTTGTGCGACTTGAGCGAATGCAGCATCGTTTTTTGATGTGGCTGGCATCGAATTCGGATGGAGATGGCTCCAGTCTCGATTACGTGCGCCTCTTGAACCGCTTTGGTCTGTGCTCGATTAAGTCCCGCTTTGTACAGGCCGACCTTTCTTTCCTACTCAACGTGTATCGCAGTAGGATCGACTGTCCCTACCTGATGGCAGTCTTTGGCCTAGCAGTCCCCAACAGACGCTCTCGACAGACAGGGCTGTTCCATGTACCGTTCGGTCGTGTGAATACTGTGAAGTCAGGGTTCACTGTCCGTATCCCTGCACTTTGTAATCGCTTCTTGCAGCATACACCCACTGCTGACATGTTGGCATCATCGGGTTCCGTTTTATCGGACATCCGTGAGTTTGCTCGCTCTCAGGGGACGTACATGTAATGTGCAGTATTCATTGTAATGTGCAATGTGCATGTGCTGTGTCACCTATTTTAATCGTGACTGCCACTGTAAATGGGCTGCAAGGCCTGTAGTCGGCTATAACAAATACAAGAAATACAAGAAATACAAGAGACACACTGAACCTAATTTGACCAAATATGCACCTAATCTACACCAGATGTGAACCAAATGTGTACCAGATGGCCGTCGTAAAAACGGCTAATATCACCTCACGGCCTCATCATTGAAAAGTCTGAATATCTAGTCCTGAATGGTCCAGATTTGGTGGGTTTTGTCGAAATCCAGCTGCATCACTTATGGATGACGGTAAGTCAGGGTTGCAGCCTGAGGTTGAGCGGCTTCAGCTTCAGGGTAAAATCTTCAGATACCGGGGGATGGCCGATTTAGATGCCGAGTGCCCTGGACCAGATGCCCTGGTGCCGGACCCGTTAAAATTACATCCATTCAGCACTCAGGAGGGACATGTAGGGACAAGACCGCGCCAACCGCGTATCAAGTTCGTGACACTCTGTATACCTATACGTTTTGCGTCAATTCTGTCGAGATGGAGCCAACGCTGAATGGACTTGAGCGACCTTCTCCGTACCTTTCGTATATGCGGAGTTGTAGCCGTGTGTATAAAAGCTGCGATGTCCAGTATTCTGCCCTGGTGGGCAGCTGTTCCGGCAGAGACAATTGATAATGTACGGCTCTCCAGTAAAAGTCTTGTTGGTTTTGCTTTTTCGGACATATCTGGTCCTATATAATGTTCAAATGCATAAGTATCAACCCGAATTGTGTGTATGCACATTTACCACGAGACTGTGAAATTGCATCGTTGTATGCCAAATACTTTCCGAGACATTCACCAAAAACCCCATTTTCTGCCGTTTGGGGTATTCTGGCCGCAATCTTCCTGGGATCGCCTATGACATCAGTAGAGCCATCTAACGAGAGGAACGCAGAAACACAGAATCATGAATGAATCGAGCGCGTAGTAAACGGTGTATGAAAGGCAGAGGCTATCCGGGTGGCCGGCGCGCGGCGCGCCCTTAGGCATCGGCCGACCCTTCGGACCGCGTGGGGTCAGAGGTCGCGCTCGGGAAGTCTCGGCTCTGGGTTTAAGCGCTGTGCAGTCAGGAAGGGAGGATAGGATAGCGCTAGCCCGACTGACTAGTGTCTCGGCTGATTCGTGTGGGGTGGAAGGGGCCACAGAACGGGATAGTGGCTAGTGGTGGATGATGGGATGGTGGTTAGGTTAGTGCGTACTGCGTAGAACGTAGCTGAACATGCATTGTTTTTTCATGGCAAACAACATGCAGCATAATGTGCGGGATTATGCCAGAACTCATACAAAAGGGTATATAATAATATTTCGGCCGAGGGAGTGGATCAGTGCCATGACAAAGCATGACGATGCTGCCAAAATCGGGATGCTTTTTTGCCCCCATTTTTTACCCCTAACATGCAGCGCTTAATCCGAACTTAGAGGTCCCCGACTGACCTTAGACCTTAAAATCGCACCTGTCCGGTGCGCCACCTTTTCTTCAGGGGCGCTCTTCTTGGTTGTATCTGTTCTTACCAATAACTAAAGCAAATCGAATGTATACCTAATAAAAAGGCATACCCACATGCGGAACTTTATATACCGTGGCGGTTGTAGCTACAACCCCAATTTTCAAAAGTACAACCCCAATGGCAAAACTACAACCCCAACATTGGAAAATTAAGAATTAACCTGAAACACATGAAAATGAACAAAATATGTATCCCTACAGAGGCAGATAATTGAGATATATCAAGAAAGTGAAGATATCAATAAATTAGGACATCTTTTTGAATTCCAGATGCTAAAAACATTGAAAGTGCTCTGTTAAGAACATATTATTCCGCTGAGACAGTGAGCAGAGCATGATATGAAAGTCAATCACTTCACACTTCTTAAGCATACTAAGTGAATCATATTGAAAGTGTTCCAAAAAATCTTAACATGTAACATGAAAGTGTGAGGCAAAAAAAAATCATAACATTCATCATACTTTTGCAGTGGCGAATCCAGCTCAGAGTTTGGGGGGGGGGGGCAGACCATAACAATTTATCGATTCTTTCCATGCCTCGTCCATAGGCGTAATATTAAAATTATGCTGTTTGGGAGGGGCAAATGCCCATTTTGCCCCCCCCCCCCCTGGATCCTGATCCGCCACTGTACTTTTGGGTTTTCTCACTAAATATTTCATACCTGTGGGCTGTGCTTATCAAAGAGATAAGCATAGATGAAAAGCTTGACACAAAACAGTAAGCTTCAGAAATAAATTAACCTAACCTAAGCCTCCACCCTATGTAGCATTCAATCACCATAATCATAATATCAAATACATTTCTTAAGTGAAATATCACTCTGTTCGCAATTTTGTCAATTGGCACAATACCACCAATCAGCACGAATATTTGGCTAAAATGACGACACTTGAACTCAACGTTGACGACCATAAAAAGTAAAAACCAATCCTGTGCGATAATTAGTGCTGATAATCTTACTGACAGGTTCGCGAACAGAATGCAAACGATGCAAACTAATTCACATGTAAGCCAGCATGACCCATTTGATACAAATGCAAGGTTTTGGCGACGTCTGTCAAATCAGCAGCAACGAATATCATCCTCACAGCAGCATATTTCGGGGTCTTTCGATTTGGCTGAAAATCGGTATCCAGGGCCTCCTCAATGCGCTGATTCCGAAAATATGCCTCTTTGGGGTGGTATTTTGCACCGTTAACGAGTTAATGACCAATTAACATTTTAACGGGAAACGGCGGGGTCTTTCGATTTAGCTGAAAATCGGTGTACAGGGCCTCCTCGATGCGCTGATTCCGAAAATGTACCTTTTTGGGGTGGTATTTTGCACCGTAACCGAGTTAACGACCAATTAACATTTTAATGGGAAACGGCGGGTTCTTTCGATTTAGCTGAAAATCGGTATACAGGGCCTCCTTGATGCGCTGATTCCGAAAATGTACCTCTTTGGGGCAGTATTTTGCACCGTTAACGAGTTAACGGCTAAATTAACATTTTAACCGGAAACAGCGGGGTCTTTCAATTTAGCTGAAAATCGGTATACAGGGCCTCCTCGATGCGCTGATTCCGAAAATGTACCTCTTTGGGGTGGTATTTTGCACCGTTAACGAGTAAACGGCCAATCAACATTTTAACGGGAAACGACGGGGTCTTTCGATTTGGCTGAAAATCGGTGTACAGGGCCTCCTCGATGCGCTTATTCTGAAAATGTACCTCTTTGGGGTGGTATTTTGCACCGTTAACGAATTAACGGCCAACTAACATTTTAACGGTAAACGGCGGGGTCTTTCGATTTAGCTGAAAATCGGTGTACGTTCAGTGTCTCAGGGGCAGACAAACAAGCCGCTATGTGTTCCTAGCCATCGTGGCTGTGAAGAGTATGCGTTTTGTTTACGATTCGCCAAACAATGCATAATACATTTGCTCGTTGAAAAAAGAAGATCATCTAGTTAATTGAAGTATTCGGTGATATGAAAAGGCTGTGGCATTTATTATTTAGTTTCCTCAGGTTGAGATAATTTAGATCCAGTGTTATGTTCCTTTGCGGCATTGTGTTCGGTATGTTGTCCTCGTTTGCAAAATATCTCATGTCTGATCAGTCACTATTCCGGTTTATACTACCCGTTTCCGTAATAGACGTATTCCAGACGGCAGTGGCATTAATATACAAGATGGACTCGTTTTAAGTTTTTTAGTCTAAAAATAACGTAGATTTCTGTTTAGGTCTTCGCTGTCAATTGCCACGAGTGGCTTAAATTGTTACTCGTAGGGAAAGAGCCCTGCTCCAATACTGAGTAATGTTTGTGTCAAATGTGGAAAGAAACAAGTATTCATAGGGACTGTGATTTTGGGCGTTTACCTACCGTTTCCGAATCGCCACGACCAGTACCTAGCGGCGGAACACCCTCAATTAAGGGGGGCATTGTCGACTTTTGATCCCATTCTTTCCATGCAACGCCCATAGGGCTAATGTTAAAATTCCAAAATCAAAGGGGGCACGGTTCCCCGGTGCCCTCCCCGTTCCGCCGCCTATGGCCACGACCATGGTGGCGACTGGCGATACCCGAGTACCTACAACCAGGCACATAGCCAATGGAGGGACGACAGGGTCAGCCGTCTCTCCCTGGAGATGGACCACTTTTATTTTATTTTATTTTATTTATTTTTTTGTTAATGAAAATGTGGGCCCCTCCCGAAAAATAGTGGGCCGAATCCGGGGACTTTTCGGGTTTTGGTGGGGGTATACCCTGGGCTCCGGCAAACTACAACCCCAATGAAAAACAAAAAGTTCCACCTCTGGGCATACCTCGAACACAGTTTTATTCACACCCGCTCGTGTGCATACTTGTTTTGACCTATACCTTGTCGCATCATAATATCACTTCAGTGCTTAACCCTCAATGGAATTTTGGGTTTTCTGCATACGAGTATACCCCGGCCGAGGTGATTGCGACCCCTCTCCGTCTTTTTGCCCCTAATTGAGCTAGCGCCTTGCGAATAAAACTGAGCGCGTGCGTCGTATGAGATGCAGCAACTGGTACCCGATTTGAATGTCTCGGGTCAACCGATAAACTCTGAGGTCAGCTCAAAGTCGCGGGATCGGTATTTGGTAAACAACTTCACCACTTAAGTGGTTACAGAGCCAACATTATGGCACCATCGAGTTTTGCATGCTCAACTTGAAGCGCGTCGAATAGTATACGCTTTTTTTTTCGTTGACGTCAATTTAAGGCATGTTCACATCAGGTCATGGTCAGGGCAGAGCCACTCAGGCCACGAAGCTGGCCCAAGGAGGTCATATATGTAGCTTCTTCGATTCGGTAGGTCCTCACAAGTCCACTGGTGGCTTCCCGACTCGCTAGCTAAATTTGATCGGGACTTTTTGGTGAAAACTCCTGTGACCATAGTGACGTCATAAATGAAGTCGCCTAACTTTAAGAATGGAAAAGTGAATGCGGGGGCTTACAAAGATTGTATAAAAGCGCGAATTAATGCGCTTGAGACAGCTTTAGATGGCTCCTGGCGCCAAAATAACAGCTTTCATATTTCCCAACTGATTGATAATCGTGAGGTTGCGTGTCCGACCCAGGGTTGTATACCAATCAAGTCGATTGAATTGATTGATTTGTTTCAACGCGTATTTTGAGTTGATTGGATTGAGTCGATTGACTTTTCGAGATGACTGGTTGACTGACTCGTCTGACTTTAGCGACTGGTTGACTGATTTGATTCCTGAAAATTAGAGTGACTCGTATGATTGAGTCGATTGAAAGGAGAGTTCAAATAACTTTTAGTTGACGAAAAATAATGACACCAATTGATGACATCAAAGATCACAAAACTACACTGAAAACTGCTTGTCATCACAACTGCAATATGGGGTAGATGGCCAAATAAAGAACAGGGCCTAAACATGAACAGCCAACTTTGACTTTCAACTGCAATAACTGCACCAATCCTGGTGATAGAACCTGGCGATGCACCTACCTACCTTTCTGCACTCAGCAGGAAACGTTTTTTTTTTCTAATCCAGATGATAAAGTGCAAGGCCCTATATACTAATAAAGTGTGATTAATTAATAATTCACATCTCCACATCTCCTCAGAAACAACCCACTGAACTCCATAAATATCTGAAACCCCTACAAAAATAACTGAAACAAAAGCGCCGTTTTCGTCTCGCTATTTACGTTTACGTGCCTAATTAATAGCTAATTTGCTGCATTGTTTAATTTGCAGCAGAACGTTTGTTGATCCTTTTCTCCTGAGAGCCTAAGCATAACATATTTAATATATTTCATTTTCCTTGAAATATTTTACCGAATATTATTAAGTGGTTTTATTTCAAATAAAATAATAACTAAAACGAAATTGGTGTTGTATAACCGATTTATTTTATGATGATCTACCATACTACATGATAATCAATGACGTCATCTTACCAAAAAATCAAAAGACGTAGAATAAGGATTTATAAAAGCTTAGCATACTTATTGGCAAAACGTTTTCATGCAGTCGCACCGTACCGTTTTCGGACGCCGGTGAAAACAGGGCGCCGGAGGGCATATTAGTCACGTGACATTTGGAAGTGCTCCCCCTTCGTGGGTCTTCTACATGCTAAACGTCACGTGTAAATTTCACCAACCTTGGTCAAATCGCCCAAGGCGCCCTGTTTTCACCGTCGTCCCCGTTTTCGCGTTTTAATTTTCCTCGTTCCCACTTCCTTTGTCCTTAACTTATACTGTGGTTCCAGAGTTCCTGTCCTCTCCATTTCCTTTTAAATATATTTTTTAACCCTCATCCCTATCCCCCAGTCCACAGTTTCAAATTGTATTGCAATAAAATTCAAACACAAATGTTTTGAATTCTTCACATAGGTACCTAACATTGACATGCCACGTCCAGAGTCGTGGACCGCTAAATGCTTCAAATCTCTTCCTTCCCAATCTGACAACATCCCACGTCTCAAATGCACATTGTGTGGAAGATTTTTCAGGCTGCCCGTCAGTCTCTGTCTAACCAAAACCGTCACATACAGGTAATATATTTATTTCTATTTCCCTATGGTTAGTATGTTATTGATGCATATAATCCATTGAAATAGACATGGTGTAGGGTAAATGGCCAAATCACGAACACTGACAAAATCCGAGCAGTCAACTTTCAACTGCAATATCTGATATTTAGTGTAAATGGAGTTGGAATATGGCCAAAATTAAATTGACAACTTTTAGGTGAAAGGTGGTGATTTGGGTTAAGGGGCAAGTCAACTACTGGGTTATTTTGCACCCATTAAATGAAACTTCTGCTCCAATTCTACCCATTGAACCTCAATATCATGATCCACCTGTCCATCACTAGGTATCCTTCCTTATTACATAGAAACTTCCCCGTTGAAAAGTCCCCTGGCACGAAGGGTGCTGCGACGTCGCGACATTTTGGGACCTTACAGAGGTTCACTTTTGACGTCATTGGTCAACGGCCTGACCTTAACCTTCGCACTTGTAGGAGGGTGTCGAACAGCCCTCCTACCCTCAGTTTTTCGCAAATAACTCGCGCAAAAAGCGGCTGATTGCGACGACACTTTCAGTACCCTCGAGTTAATCAATATTACGCCTATCCTGTAATTTATATGACCCTGACTCAAAAGACATTTGACTTGTGATTTGTTTTCCGAAACCATGTTTGGCCGGAATCGCGTTTTGGCGTATTTTGCGTAAAGCGCGTTTTAATTGTCTTTTTGTGGCTTTAAGCGATCAAACATGTGAAAGGATGTTGATCCCATGGATTCTAGTGGGTATCAAGGTCACGTGAAGGTCAGTCAGGTCACTGATCTTTGATGACCTTTGTTCAC